GCATAGGCACACGACACAATTCTGGGCAATGAGATATGACAGAAAGTCTGCTGGGAAAGTTTATTTTTCAAAGAAAGGGAGAGAACATTCCTTTCCCTCACTGTTTCTGAGAAAGAAAGAAAAACACCTGATTCCTTGATGATGTCCTGAAACCACTGGCATTAATGAATCTAAAACTGATATAACTCATGACTTCTTGTTACATGAGATGCTCAAGTTTTCTTCTTGTTTCAGTAACTTCTGGTTGGATTTTTGTTGTAGTTGATGGAGCTACTTTCAGCCAGATGCAGGAGACCAGCATACCCTAAGCTGATCAGTTTACCCATTAGAAACTCGCTTTTCCTTTCCACTGATTCAACCCTCTGCTAAATGTTACTTCTCTTGTTCTGGTTCCTCTGCTTCATCAAGAATGGAGAGTAACCTAAGACCTAAGACATGACAATGCACTTAGTCACTCTTTCCAAATATACACTTGGGGGGAGATGCAAAACAACTTTGAAAATGAAAGAAAGCAATTACACAATGCAATACCTTGACTATTCTGTCCCATCACCCTTCCTGGTCCTTTGGTTGGGAGGACTTAAACTCTTATGGTAGGGTGGAGAGATGAAAATAAACATAAAGGAAAAAAGTGTAGGCAAGCCCACGGGAAATTATGTAAATTCTTCCGGATTCACAGCAGTGCTAGAATTCTCTGGTAATTCCCACAGGAGCCAAGACTACCTCTGAAACAGTCTAACTGTTGGAAACCACCAGTGTCTGGCAGGAAGCCAACTATAACAAGGGCAAAAGATATGCCATTTCGGAGAGTCTGGACCAATCCCAGGGACCCAGGCCAGCCTGTGGCCAAAGTTGTGAATATGCAAAAACTGTCACCAGTCTCCACTCCCTTTCCCGTTCCCTTCCTAGTCCCCTTCTTTTTCTAGCCCCGATCTTTTTCTCCCTGCTCCTCCTCCCACTCCTCCTTCTCCCTCACTCACTCAACAATTCATATCCTGCTTGCCTGATGAGCACAGAAAGTACTAAGCCGCCTACCTTAGGACACTTGCATTTCAGCAGGGAGCTCTTACACGCCCAAGGTAATGCTCCTCTATTGCTAGAAATTCAGGCTTCGAGGCTGGCTGTGGGAAGCATGTCTGGTCTCAGGCACAGTACTTCTTGCCCCATGCAAAGTCAGCTGGTGGGAAACGGGGCAGGGGATCCAAGGAAAAGAAGGGGACTAGGAAGGGAAGCGGGGATTCAAAGACTGGATTCCCAGCTCTCACTGCCAGCCAGTGGGGATGTACAGGGTCACAAAGACATTGCCTCAAATGTGGAGCTGTCCTCTGCTAGCTCATACAGGACCTTGTCATGCTGACTTGTGATCCACGGATCTCAGTTAGCCAGAATCCAGCATAGCCTGATATTTAGCAGGTGCTGTTTATGGAACGAATGAACGAACGAACATCTGTTCATATACACAGACACCACGACCATCTTGTTCCCCATTGTATCCTCAGCACCCAGTCCAGTGCTTAGGCTGGAGTAGGAAGAGAGTAATGATTCATTAATTGACTGAAAGAGGGCGTCACAAGAAAGGGACTTGCATCTATGCTGCAACGACATCTTTATTGCAAGGGCAAGAAGCACATCCCAGACCTTTTTGAAAACATCAGGGATGGAGGTGGGAGGCAGGGCAAGATGGAGGAAATTTCTGGGAGTACAGCTATCTAGCTGTCATGGTTCAACTATGGTTTCAGTTTTCTAGGGTTTCTTTTTCTTTTCTTTTTGGAGATGGAGTTTCTCTCTTGTTTCCCAGGTTGGAGTGCAACGGCATAATCTCAGCTCACTGCAACCTTCCACTCCCAGGTTCAAGCGATTCTCCTGCGCCAGCCTCCGAGTAGCTGGGATTGCAGGCGCCTGCCACCTCGGCCGGCTAATTTTTGTATTTTTAGTAGAGACGGGGTTTCACCATATTGGCCAGGCTGGTCTCGAACTCCTGACCTCAGGTGGTCTACCTGGCTCCGCCTTCCAAAGTGCTGGAATTACAGGCATGAGACACCACCGCGCCCAGCCTTCTAGGGATTCTTAACCTGGGGCTCATAGGTGGGGCTTCAAAAGATCCATGAATCCTTCCACTCTTTAATCAAGCACCGGTGTCAGTAGCTGTATGTGCATTTTTCTGGAAGAGGATCATGGCTTTCAATGAGTTTCAAAAGGCTGAGACTGCTGGAGACCTGCACTGTCCAAAGGGTAGCCATTAGTCCGGTGTGGCAATTTAAGTTTAGATTTAAATTAAAATTTCAGTGCCTTACTTACACTAAGCTACACATCAAGTGCTCAACAGCCACGACCTACAGGACAGACCAAATAGAGTACACTTCCATCACTGCAGAAAGTTTGACGGGACAGATATCTGTATTGGTAGCATTACCACCTGAATACAGGTAAGATTGGATCCAACTAGTGCTTTTGTAAAATGAGTTGCCAACATTTAGAAATAAAACATAAAAATCTAAAATCCTGATTTCATTTGGGAAACAGGACTATCTACCAGCGTGGGGCCTGCGTTCCCCTGGCAGCTGGAACGCACGGTACTGCTCCCTTTAGAGGGACTCTCGGTCATATAGAAGTTTCCCGCTTGACCCTCCTTGACGACTGACAGTAGGACCCTCGTTTCCAGGGGACTTAGCCGTCTTGGTCTCCTTCCAGGCTCGCGTTTGTAACCAGACTTCAAATTTTGCTAAATGGGGTTAAACTGGGTTTGAGAGCACATTTTAGAGCAGGGTCTAGGGCTCAGTTGGAAGTTGAGGAGGGGCAGCGCCTCCTTCCTTACAGTTTTCCGGAACTGTAGGAAGTCAAAGGGAACTTTATCCTGAACATCTGTTGCTTGACAAAGAACTTCTTCCCAGTCCTCCTCCGAGCTCTCCAGTCCCCAGCCCAGTTCGCCCGGGCCCGCCCCTAGCAACGAGATCGCGGGGAGGGGCCGAGGCGAAACATTAGCCCCGCGCCCACCACCCTGGCTGGCGACGTGGCTCCGCGGCCCCGGCCTCCCCCGGCAGCGCAGCGACCAATGGGCGCGTGAGCGGGACCGCCCGCAGCTTCCCAGCCCGAGGCCCCGACGCGCCCCTCTGCTCCGGCTCGGGGCGGGCACTGGCGGAGGGACTGGGCCGTCCCCTCCTCCGCGCCGGCCCCAGCCCCGCCGCCGTCGCCGCGCTCCAAGCCCCCATTCCCGAGCTGCCGCTGTTGTCGCTTGCTCAGCGCCTCCCTCCCGGCCGCCCTCTCCTCCGGACGATGGCGCGCGGTGGCCGTGGCCGCCGCCTGGGGTTCGCCCTGGGACTGCTGCTGGCGCTGGTGCTGGCGCCGCGGGTTCTGCGGGCCAAGCCCACGGTGCGCAAGGAGCGCGTGGTGCGGCCCGATTCGGAGCTGGGCGAGCGGCCCCCTGAGGACAACCAGAGCTTCCAGTACGACCACGAGGCCTTCCTAGGCAAGGAGGACTCCAAGACCTTCGACCAGCTCACCCCGGACGAGAGCAAGGAGAGGCTGGGGTGAGGCCGCGGCCAGGTCCCCCCGGGGGGCGGCGCAGGTGTCCAGGGGCCGTCTGGGCGGGAGCCACGCGGGATACCACCGCCAAAGCGAAAGCGAAATCGCGCGCGCGGCCCCGAGGGCGGGGGCCTGCCCGACTCGGTGCCGGGGCTCAGGCTGAGTTGCCGGAGGGCCCCGGGACCGCAGCGTGGAGATCGCCGCCGCGCCCCGGCCTGGGTGGTTTCTCGCGGGGAGGCGAGAACGTGGCAGCGGCCGCGGTAGCCGGGACGGCGAGGGCCCGCCCCCTCCCCCGGGTTGCATCAGAAGGGAAGGGAGAGAGTGCACAAAAGAAGAGTTTGTCCACAGTGGCCTGTTAGTGACATGAGTTCCTCCCTACCCTCTCGCAGTTTCTCTCTGATCCCCCACTTCCGGCGAAAAGGGCTTGAGACACTCGCTAAGAAGGTCTCAGGGATGAACATGAATGGATAAAAGATGAAGGGGCAGGCGAGTGACAGGCTTGCTTCCTAGTCTCGGCCAGGTGGTCTTGCCTTTTGCCTAATCGCCCTGTGAATCTATCGTAAGGAGGCTGGGCGCGGTGGCTCACTCCTGTAATCCCAGCACTTTGAGAGGCCGAGGCGGAGGGATCACCTGAGGTCAGGGGTTCGAGACCAGCCTGACCAACATAGGGAAACCCTGTCTCTACTAAAAATACAAAAATTAGCCGGGCGTCGTGGCACACGCCTGTAATCCCAGCTACTTGGGAGGCTGAGGCAGGAGAATCGCTTGAACCTGGGAGGTGGAGGTAGCAGTGAACCGAGATTGCGCCACTGCACTCCAGCCGAGGCTGGAGTGAGACTCCATCTCAAAAATAATAAAAAATAAAATAAAATCTAGTGTAGGGATACAAAAATCCGGGGACACGCAGTTTCCGATTGGAAACACGAAGTAGCAGGAATGGAAACGGGTGGCCTGAAACGTTTCTGTTGGCAGCAGATGTCTGCATAAGCACTCAGTTCTTTGGCAACTGATTTGTTGGGGGCTAAAAGCTGGAGGGTGCTCTTGGTGGTGGAGGATTTTCACTTGGGCTGTTAAAGGCAGTTGAGTCAGGAACCAAACCCGGGAAACAAAACTTTGGCACATTTCAGTACACCCTCCCCGGGTCCCCCTGAGGAGACACTTGGGCATTGTGCGGAGATATCTGCTGGTCCTTGCTCAGAGGACCCAGCAGGCAGCCTGGTCCCAGATGGAGGCAGGGCTGGGGAAGAAACCAGCAGTCCTGCCTACTGGGCACCAGGTCTCAGATCTCCCTGAACCTGATTCCTGGGGGTGGAGGATCTTCACGTTCTGCCACATGAAAGAGAACACAGCCATCCCTGTGCTCCTGGGGCCCTCCAAAGGCCAAAGTGTTTCATTGGAATATGAGGATAAATTATACCTATTGTGTAGGTGCACCATCTGCCTGCTCTGATAACAAGACCTTTGAACTTCAAAGTCACCTCCAAACAATTACCTTTTATCTTGCACAGTACTTTCTCTTCTCGGTTAGGACTTAACAATGGGGGCCATTGATGAGTTCAGTCAATTGTATTGCTTTGAGGCACTTGGAGACTGATTTATTCTGGAGCCCTGAGTGGTAGCCACATTGTCACTGGAGAGGAGGCAGGGAGAGGTTTTGGGATTTGGAAAACTTTATAAGGTGTGGTCCTACAGCTTCCAGTTAATGTCTTCATCATGACAGTTCAGCCTAGTAGTGAGAACAAGTGACGGTGGGGTTGGTCTGGATTTGATCCTTGTATCAACACCTTGACTTCATTCATTTATTCATGCAACAAACATTTGAATGGCTACTGTGTACCAGGCCTCAGTTTAGACAACTGGAAGATACAAAGATGAAACCTTATGCTCTAGGCATCAAAGTGCTTATAAGCAAATGTGGAGGAGAGAAGCACAAACTAGCCATTATGCACAATTGCTGCAATGATGGCCTATAAAACCTATGGTGAGCACATCCAGGAGAAGGAGCCACCAGGGCTGCAGGTTAGAGAGAGGGGATTAGGGCTGTCACCTGATCAGTTTGTAGGATGACCTGGAGGTTGCCAGGTGTATAGCAGGGGAAGGCCTTCCTAAAGAGAAAACAGCCCATTTCTAAAGGGTTTGAAAAGTATCTGGGGCCTGAGGGGTGGTGAGTCTGCAAAGGGGCAGGGAAGGGAAATGAGAGGTGGAAATGGAGGGGAAACCAAGGACAGAGCAGGAAGGACCTTGGTGAGACGGAGATATGTTATCCTGTACGTTGTCAAAATGTCATAATCCCCAAAATTCACTGGGAAAGTCAGGCTGGCAGGAGGCAGTACGCAAAGAACATAATCGAGGTATAGACTAGACCAGTGGCAGGGGAGAGGGGGTAAATGCCAAAGGGGCTTGGTCTCTCCGGATTCCAGGAGGCGATGTATCTATACACTAGTGGGAGGTAGAACTGGCAGCTCTTGCTCTTGACTCAGCAAGGGGGAGAGGAGGGAGGTAGGAATCAAGGGGACATCTGGGTCTCTGGCCTTAGCCACCAGATGGGTGATGGATGCACCATTCGCTTGTAGGTTAAATCTGGGGTAGAGGCGGGGTAGGAGGTGCTGGAAATTATAGGTCCAGTTTGGGATGGGGCTGTGTGTGAGAAGCTGCCCCTCTGTCCACAGCTTGTTTCAGTGGTCCCCTCCATGATTGGGCTGAGGAGGAATGAGTGTGGCTGGATCTAGGCAACTTTGTCACCATTACCTGTCAGTCCTGAAAATGTGACAGCTCTAAGGCCCCTAAAGACACCTGGGCCAGAGGTTTGCAAAGTGGGAACCCGTAGGCTGCATGCATTCACAAATATGCCACACAGTGTAAATTACTTGCCCACATTTAAACTTTGAATGATTTCACATACAGACCCCCATATCTGGCTTCTCTTGACACCTTTATTCCCATGTGTCAGTCATCCTCTGCAGCAGAGTTGGTCAGCCCTGTTTGGCGGCTAGCAGGGTATCTCCAAGTGGCAATAGGTCCTATTGAGAGGTTTTGCTCATTCTGTTACCTGTTGGTGTTGAGAACAAATGATGATGGAGTTGGTCTGGGTTTGCTCCTTGTATCAACACCTTGATTTCATTAATTTATTCATGCAACAAACATTTGAATGGCTTCTGTGTAGCAGCTACCATCCGCCACTGATCTAGATTATTGTCTTTAGTGAGGAAAGGCATGCATTCTCTCCTTTATTCCTCACAACATTCCATGTGAAGTAGGTGTTCAGTTTACACATGGAGAAACTCAGGGAGTCAATACACTTGCCCAAGATCACGCAGATAATGGGGACCAGAGGGAGGACGAGGATCCAGGTGTTCTAATGGAAGTGCTGGGCTTCATCTCCACCCTAGCTGCCTTTCCCAGGATCTCATTTGAGATTGTTAAAGAGAAGGTTAAGATCTTATTTATTCTTACAACAAATATTTATTGAGTGCTTACTATGTGTCAGGCTGAGCTACGTCCTAGATGTTTATTTGGCATAGACTAGATGCTATCCTTTCCACAAAAGAGGATTGTAGTCTGATGTCGTTAGCCTGAGATTCTGTTTCCCAGTTGGCTTTGGGTAACCCGTTGGCATGTCTCCACTGTGTCCCCAGGATTGGAGCAGTGCTTGGCACATACCTGGGCTCAACACTGCACAATGTTAAAATAATTCTGCTGTGTCTGACTATGATTTCCTGGGGGAAGAAGCCTGAAGATGCTTGAAGTTTAGTGTTTTAGTCTTTTTTTTTTTTTTAAGACACGTTCTTGATTTGTTGCCCAGGCTATGATGCACAGCGGTGCAATCATAGCTCACTGCAGCCTTGACCTCCTGGGCTCAGGCAGTCCTCCCACCTCAGCCTCCTGAGTAGTTGGGGCTACAGGCATGTGTCACCATGCCTGGCTAATTTTTAAATTTTTTGTGGTGTCAGGATCTCACTATGTTGCCCAGGCTGCTCTCAAACTCTTGGCCTTCTACCTCAGTCCTCCCACCTCAGCCTCCTGAAGCACTGGGATCACAGGTCCAGCCTATCTTTTAGGAATGAGGCCTGTTAAACGTGCAAATGAAGGGGCACTTTCAAGCTGTTAGTGATGTTTACACCTTCCTGAGAAAGAGGAGCTTGGGCTCTTGGGTTCAGGTAGGAGGTGGAGACATTGATTATTCACTCCTCCCCGTCTCATGTACACCCTCCCGCCACCTAAAAAAAAGTTATAGGAGATTTTCTCTGTCAAACTACTGATGAATTTGTTTCCCACTTTTTATTAATCAAAGCTTAATTGCCAATCAGAAGGTCTGTTGAAAAGTGAGAAAGTTTTGCCACTGAAGCTGATAAAATTCCAGCCCCAAAGAACGAAATCTAGAGTTAGCCTGTATGACCTCCTCCCAGGTAAATGGACTACAAGGGTGAAACTTTTTTAAACACTGGGAATAGCTTGGGGGTGTTTTTGAAGTTCCCTACCGGAATGCTGTCCTGGTTTGGGACCGTCTGATCTAGAGATGACAAAAGTAAGTTCCCAGCCTGAAGTTTGCTCTGGGCTAGCATTTAGGGTACCTCAGTGGAGTTCAGTGGGAAGTTCCTGAAACCTAGGCCAGCCATGGAGCTGGTATAGGAGCCTTTACCCTAAGAGCAAAGGGTTTAAGGTTCCTAGAGCGGATCAGCTGGTCAAGTTTCGTGAGTAGATTCCA